TAAAATAATATATATATATATATATATATATATATTCCTTATATCTAAATGCTTATTCTTTAAATAATAATAATAATAATAATTATTATTATTATTATTATACTAATATTATATATATTGCATATGTAATTAGGTAACTATTTTTTTGGTGGATTGTGGATTTCCTAATCGACGCCAATTTTTAGCTCCATTTCGAGGTGTAAGGTATCATCTACAAGATTTTGCAGGTCAGGGTAATCACCCTGAAAATGAGAAAGAATTGTTCAATCTTTGTCATGCGTCTTTAAGGAATGTGATCGAGAAAATATTTGGTATTTTTAAATCAAGGTTCACAATTTTTAAGTCAGCATCTCCATTTTTATTTAAGACACGAGTAGAACTTGTGTTAGTATGTGTAACACTACATAATTTTCTACGTAAAGAATGTCGTTCTGATGAATTTCCAATTGAAGCGGTGGATGAACCTTCATCTTCAACGTTACCAATTAATGAAGATCATACTTTTGAACCTATTATTCAAATCCAGGAACAAGAGCGAAAATACGCTAATGCTTGGAGGACTAGTATAGATATGGATATGTGAGTGAATGCTATTTAAGAGGACAAGATATTATGGAGAATTATTATTATTATTATTATTATTAATTCTCTAGACATTATTTTTTTTTATTATTTTTGTCTTTGACTCTTTAAATTTGAATGTATGAAATTTTTTTTGAAATCTTATCAAATGTCAAAAATCCATGAAAATTCTACAAAATCCCACAGAATCCATTAAAATCCTGATTTAAAAGTCTTGCAGAATCCATTAAAATCCTGATTTTAAGTCTTGTAGAATCCTGCAAAATCTTAAAAGTCATGAAAATCCTGCAAAATCTTTTAAAATCCGTAGGATTTTTTTTAACTAAAAAAGTCCTTTAAAATCCTAATCCAATACACCCCCCTTAATAATTATATATTAATTATAATTTTGAACGAGTTATTTAATTGAAAGAAACTTTGAATCCTTTTCTAATCACAAAAATATAAAATACATTATTTGCTAAATGAAACCATAAAACCATACAATAAACATATATGTAACAATGAATTAATTGTAATTGTATTGCTTGTCTTTTATTTTCACTACCAAACCGATAAATTAATTACATGCTAGACATAATGTTAATTATTATAAATTGTGAAATTATATAAACTAAATAATGTAATTAAAATAAATTAAAGTGTATGTTGAGCATCATATATCTTGTCGTGCTGCTAATCGTTTGTCATTTGGTTGATTCGATTTTTGAAACAATAACAAGTTATACGTAGAGCATAGTATAATGTAAAAGAATTCACATTGCAAAGAGACTAAAAAGGAAAGAGAAAAGGAAGAGGTAATCGAAAGTACGACATAGGAGAGAGAGATAAGAGAATCGGGACAAAAACAAATCAAAGGAATAAACCCCGAAACCATCCCTCCCCTAAAACAAAACAAATATTTTATTAACAATTTTTTGACTCATCATGCTAGTGGACTTGACATGGCAAAGGTCCATTAACAACAAAGCAACTACCTTATGTGTATATACATGACTCACCTTTCCCGCAACCCATCACAATCCTCTAATAATTGCATATAATATAATATCTTAAAGTACTTTACCAATCATTAACATCTAGAAAAAAAAGCCACATCATCACCGACGTCAGCCAAACTTTGTGAAATACTTGGTATATTTAAACAATTATTTACTTGATTCAACAACATTGACAAAACATGCAATTAAGCGTCCTTAACAAACAGATCGAGGCTCAATCCATGATACGAAAATTGAAACATTGACTCTAACCAAACATTTTCATGTGAAAATGATTAAAAGGGATGGGAAATTGATACTTAGCTATTTTTATTTCAAGCTTGATAATTGTAACAACCTGCCTAGTTGTTCCACAACAAACAATACCACACAGAATAGAGTATGCATATAAATATAAAATATATACACATAGATCTAGCTTGGGGCTCAACAAGTCAATATACAAAATATATCAACCAAATAGCTACACTAAGTAGCCTAACAACAACAAAACATCAACTTCTGCTACCGCCTGTAGTCCAGCTACCACTCTGATGCCTATCCCTACTCTGCTCCCATACACAGTATGATCATTGCAGTCCAACCCACATGGAAACAGATAAGGGTAAGCTAGTAAAAAGAATCAACATATATAGAATTATAAACAGCTTCAACTTAACAGCACATCATCAATTTCAGCAAAGTCACCCTACAACACATAATATCATACATCTACATCTCAGCTTCACAACACACTGCACACATACAACTCATATCATTCAACAAAATCAACACCAAACAGCTTATGCATCGTCACGCATTTCAACTAGGAGATCTTCTATAGTCTTAGTGATCAACAACTCAGCCTTACAGCCTACAACAGCTCAGCCTTATAGCCTACAACAGCTCAGCCTTACGGCCTACAATAGCTCAGTCTTACGGCCTACAACAGCTCAGCCTTACGGCCTACAACAACTCATATTCAACATTCAGCACAGCACAACATAACAACATTAACAACTTAGACAGCATACAACCCAGCTCGGCTCAACAACATTAATTAGTAAAACCATCATACAGCACAACTCAACGTTACATCATACAGCTTAAACATCATTAATTAGCATAAACATCTTACGGCACAGCTCAACTTTACATCAATACAGCATTAACAACATTAATTACCATTGTTCTGAAAGAACACATCCGCGCCCGACGCAATAAAGTTTGCACCCGGCTTGGACCAACCAGAGAGCTTCAAAGCTCTTATGCGTCTGGCACAATTCTAATTGCGCCCGGTGCAATAGAAGGCAGAGACTCTCAAGAGTCTCACAAGCCCGACATACCAAACTTGCGCTCGGCGCAAGTAAGGCAGAGACCTCCCCAAGGTCTCACGTCCGGTGCAATACTAATTGCGCCCGGCGCCACCCCTGGCAGAGACTCCCAAGGAGTCTCGACGCCCGGCGAGATTGAACCATGCCCGGCGCCATGCCAATACCCCAACATTGTGAGTCCTTGTCTGATATCTCGCCCAACGTGGTTTAACCACGCCTGGCGTGAGCCATCCAAGGGCCTCCATTCTTAAGCTCGCCCGGCACAAACAATCCTGTGCCCGGCGTGCTTGAACAATGAAACACTTTGATGGACACACGCCCGGCGCCAATAACTACGCTCGGCGCACTATCACACAGCAACCCTCAAACTTCGAAAATTTCACTCAAATCTTGCAAAAACAAACGGCTCAAGCACATGCAATCCATCAAAGGAACCACGTTTTCAGCAAACAACTCAAAAATCATGACTTTTTCAACATGCAACCATCAACACTCAAAAATCCCAAATTTTCACCCTTTTCCCCGAAACCCCAAAAATGAAATTTCTTCAAAACAGCTCATCAATCTTCTCACATCAAACAACACATGAGTTTCTAAACTCATTTCCAACCAATCCATGCGAAAAACTAGCTTCCCTTAGCTCGGAGGAGAAGATTCCGAGCTTCCGGGAAAAAGAAAAAGGAAGAAGGAGAAAAGAGAAGGCTCCACTCTCCGCTAGCTCCACAAGAAAAGCACCACCTTAGCTCATTGCCTCAGCCTAAGAGAAAGGGAATCAGAACAAGGATTTTTAGAGAGAATGGTAAAGGGAGAATGAGAAAAGAGAGTGAGAGGGACAACAAGGGAAAAGAGAAGGGAGGGAGTGGGGTTGCGGGTCTCACAACTGATAATCACATAAACCTTTTAGGTGTTAGGCATCTAATGGCAAAACAGAAATTTAACCATGTATTCGTTGGTTGTAGTTGTAATGGCCTTGGGAAGAGTTTTCCCGAGGCCCCACGATGGATGCCAAAATGTTTCAGTTAAATGATAATAGTCGGAGAATCCCTAATGATATGAACTCTAAGAGAACCTAGTCGTCGTCCTAACCTAAAATATTTGATGAGTGTAACCTACCATTAGAAAAACCCTTTTTCCTTTATATATATGAGTGTCATGTTAAGGATACAAATATTTTTCCCCAATCCAAATTCCTTGAAATGAGCCTTCATTTTATTTCTCATAATGAGCCTATAAATCACATTTATAATCGTAATCAAATATGTGCGACAATCATGAAAATTACCTCCTTAATTAGTCATTGGAAATTCATAAGTGATCTTGAATTCGGCTTGCTCGGTCGGATGGGGAGTTGGAAGATACGTAACCCTCCTTTAATTATTAACAGTGCAAAGAGTCTTTATTCGACTGATTTGGTTAATTTGGTTAATTGGGAATTTGGAGGGTACACAACCCTTTAGGCTTGAGCGTCAAGGGCGCGAAGAGTCTCAAATTAGCCAACTTAGTCGGTTAGAGAGTCAGACAGTACATTATCAAATGTCAAAATCAATTAGATTGAAATTAAAATTAAGAGTGTTTATTTGTAAAAAAAAATAAAATTTAAGAATTATTGAAATAAAATTAAAATTTATAATGTCTATTTATAAATCTAATAAAATTTAAGATTAATTATGATAAAAACAAAGGTTTATGGTATTTATTTGTAAAAAAAATAATATTTATAATGATTGATTATTCTTTTTTCCAAAAAAAAAGTTATAAAATTATAATAACTAAAATGTTTAAATATTTTTTAGTTATTTAAATTTAAAATAAATTTATTTTTTCTTCAAATTTAAAATTATTATTTTTAATCATTGTAACTTTTAAAAATTTTATTTTAATCATTTAAATTATCAATAACATATATAAAAATATGATAATATGTAACATATTTGAAAATCACATATTAAAATAATTATGTATTATCAATTTTCTAAATTTAAAGTGATGTTTTCAATAATAGACACAAAATTAAAAGTATATTTACAACATAATTGTTTTTGTATGGTTTTAGTTTTATAATAATTGCAATGTAGTCCTTACATTTTTGGGTAAATATGCAAATTGTTAGTTGCACTGGACGGGCCAAGGCGTCTTTCGCCGCCATTGGAAAAGGTCTCAAGGCCACCGCTCCGCCAATGCCTTCAACACCATATCTTCACGCCGCCGGAAAGAGCGAAGACGAAAGCGAAAATCGTCACAGCGAAGCTCGCGCAGATCTGTGGGCAAAGGAGACGACGCACTCGGGTTGATTTCTGCGCTTGCCACAATCTCGAGTTTGAGTGCATCAATCATGCTTCTGGTTTTGATATCATTTTAGCTTTGACGTATTGGATGTGTTGTCATCGAAGTTAAAGCTTTTGTCGGCGTGAATGAATGCTGTTTTGCTGAATTTCTTGAACATGTCTCAGGTGGTTGATGTTTTGACGTTGTTGTGGGAGATATTTAGGGTTTAGGTTTTAGGGAAGTCGGAGACGTTCAAAAATTCGATGGTGTTCATGGGAGGGAAGGCAGAAGGGGAACTTGACGGTACTCTGATTCATGGCTGCCGGCGATCCTTCTCTTGCTGGCAATGGCTTCCTCCGCTTGGTACTCACCTTGTTTACAGTAAAGTTAATTCAACTTTACCAACTTTGAACGTGTTTGGATACAAGCTTCGGAGAATTTCTTTATTGGAAAAAACTCTTTGATCCAAACAAGCTCTTAGTCTCAATCAATTAACAATTCCAAATTTTGAAGTGTTAGGCTGTGAACAATAAATATGTAAAATTCATCTTGCAGTTAATGAGTCTAATTCAGTTAGTTGATCAGAACCTATGTATGGTAAATTTCTTGATATAAGTTCGATTCCCATATTTATAAGAATATTCATTTTGCAGGTTAAAATTACAGCCTTCATCACGTCAATTTTGGTGCTTCACCATGAGCTATAAGGTGATTCACCTTAGCTTGAACTCCAAAAGAATGTGCTAAGGAGTGTATTGATATCAATTTTTCAGTTAATAAAAGGGCATTCCCATTGTGTGTGTGCGCGCAATGACAGGTGGAGCCACCATCTGCTCAGGTCACCGGTTTCTCTGTGATCAACTTGTCCCTGACTCAGCCACCCAACTCAGTCATGACACGTTCCTGGTGTTGCCAGATTCTTCCACTGCCCAACCTTTCCTCGTCCCTGATGATGGCTTATCCGTTTCCAAGGTCTTTTCTCCTTTTATATCAACCATTGAAAATAAACTATTTTCAACTTATAATTAACTTATGAAAATAATTTTCCATTTACTTGAAAATAAGTTGACTTTATGCATAGATAGTTTTAATTTATGGAAAATGTTATTTTAATTTTCTTCTCCTAGTATTACTTATGGAGAAGTCTATCCAAATAGGCCCTATGACATGCTTGCACCTCTTCGGGAAAAGTTATAAAAATGACTTAAACTTACACCAAGACAATTTAACGTTATATTTCATTTTCAATTTTAGAAATAACTTATGCATAAATGCTTACATGTCAAGCACATAATTAAGTTGTCTATTCAAATACACCCAACAAAATTCCAAATTTGAGTAGTGTTTTCTGTTTCCTGTTGCCACAAATAATTACAAAAATGTCATGTCATGTCATTTTTACTTCCTTTCCTATTTTCAACGATTAGTATGTATAAGAGATGATGTATGTGAAAGTAAGAAACAAACTCAAAATAATGTGACATTTTTGTTCGTGTTAAAAACAAGAAATAACAATTAGAAAGTTTTTGTCAAAACCTAACAACCTTAATATCTCCCTTCATGGAAAAGGATTATGGGGTCCACTGGTTACTTTAGAAGTTACTATGTGCTTTTTCTAACAATCTTCTCTTGTTATTTTAACAATGAGAATCCAGATGTATAATTAATGAAATAAAACTTTATATTTGAGAGGGTACAAGTACAATTAATAGTACATAGTTTATGAGACAAATGTGGTTTTCAGTATCTTGTGCTTATCGTTTTATATATTTGTATTTTGTGAAGTTTCGACAACACAGGTTTTTGCTCAGAGAAGCAAGAAAAGAAATATTGAATTATTGATGACATAAACTATGACGTGAATGGATTTACACATATTGCAAGTGTGATCTTGTCTATCTGTCTTGTGACAAATGATACATGGCTTTGAATTGGTGATTTGTTTGTAATATATTCCTACTATTTGAGGGAACTGTTGTTGATTTGTGCTAGTTCTTGTTCGTGTCACTCTTCTTTACTTGCTAATTCACTGCTTTATATGATTGTCCTTGTCCTCACGACATAAAATTTTGTAGCTAGTTAGGTTTTTTATTCTAAGGATATTGTTTAATGGTTGCAGGTTTCATTTGGTGTGGTTGACTGGTTGGTCTAAGTGTTGGACTCTCTCTTCTTGTGAGTTCTATTTTCTTGTTTCACCTCCTTCTTGATTTCAGGTTATGCATAGTGCTTCTGTTTCTTATGTTGGTCTTTCTGTTTCATACAGCTGTGGTTTTGAGGGTATATTTTTAATCTTCTCCCTGGATTTGAATGGTCAGCTATTATGTTATTATATGACTTCCCTCTTGCAATTATTGGAATGGCACTCAGGGTGAAGAAAGTTTTATTAATGTGAATAAATTTGTGAGAAGGATGTTTTCATAACAAAGTTGTGCAAAAAAGAGTCATGTTAGGAGTTCGCCTTGCTAATGTTCACTCTGTTGCTTCATAGCTTTATTTGTGATTCTGCATTGGTGTTTTAGTGGATGCTCCTGCAGGTCACACACTCTTCATATTTTGTCACAGGCTGTTTGTTTTTGCAGTATGCAAAACTCAAGCCTGTCCATGCCTGACATATTCAGATGCTCAAAGCTCGAGGGAAAAATGTGCAACTCCAGTGCTTTAACTGGTAATCTCATCAATGATTCATAACTTCCAGGCTTGCTGTCAGTTTAAAGTAGGCCATGATGACAATGAATTATTGAAGGGTTAACCTTGACATTGCCCATTTAACATATTTACTTAGAAAAGCAAATCCAAGATGCATAACATTTTCCTTTTAAATCATTTATCTAAAAGCAACCAGGATTAGGTAGTTAAAGGAAACATGTAATGTGATGTCCAGGTTCTGGTTATTTATAGGGTTAAAATTGTCAACTTTTTCTTTATTCTACTTTGTAATTTCTTAGGTAAAATGGTCATTTTCAATGTATATTCTAAAAGGATTTGCCAACATGCACGAGTCAAACCAATTATTCAGAATTAAGTGGGCATAAAATGTGGATTAATTTTAGGTTGCAGGATTTTAAACTAGATTCAACTCATTTATTAACTTTTCCTGTTAGATTACCCTTTTTTATTCTGGACTCATGTTAGCAATCCAAACCTTGCAGTATAGTGCCCATATTGAGTAACAGCCATGGGTCGTGTAAAAATTTGCCGATGGAATATAGCTGTACATTTACTAAGCAAAATTATTTCATTCTAGGAAATAGTTACTTTTAAGCATTCAATATCAAATTCCTCCATGATTCTCAAACAGTTTCTTTTATTTGTTTATTACCATTGGATTCTTTCTTTCCTCTAATCACTCATATCTACTCACTGCTAATCAGTCTAACCTACATGGTTTTGAATATTAAATGTATTAAGTGTTCATCTTGTGCTTTTACAGATGAAGAGTGATGTTTCTAGATATCGCTATCAAAATGAGCAGCATTTGGATGACGCATTGAAACGGATATTCCAGTATGGCCAAGTATGTTATTTGAATTTGTAAATTTATTTTTTGGTACTTAACTACTTATTATCTTTTTGTATCTATTTTTCCATTTTTCATATCTTGAGGAATAAAATGTAACATTAAAGTATCACATTTTTTTTTCTCTGTTTCCTACTTGTGTTTGGAATGAACTCAACAGAATACTTGAACCCAGGTCAGGTTTTGACAATATGTTCAGTAACTGTTAAAATGAAACCCCACTTCCAAACCTCAAGGCTGCACCCTATAGCTTAAGTTTCCAATGAATTGGTTCTGAACAGGGGCAAAAGGTATGCTTCTCAATACTTCCCGGTCTCTTTCTCATGAACCAACTATTCCAAAGCTTAAGCTATTAGGCAAATACATATGAATATTATTTCATAATACTTCTCCAACAATCTTCATCCAACCAGTAGCATTAGCTCAATAGTGAGGTTGTCACTATTTGCCCTTGTTGCAAGTGGGATTTAATATTTCTTCTGCAGCCTATGATATGTTCTTTAGTTGCTAGACATCATTTTATCTGCTTTTTGTTTCAGAGAGGAGGACTACCAAGGAGAAGTGCTCCTGTTCTACAATTGATTGTGAAGAAGTATGCTTATCAATTTTGTTTTAATTCACCAATCAGTACCATTATTTTCGTCTCATTATGAACTCTTTTTTCATAATACTTGCTAGATAATTAATAAATACTGAAAAGCAAAATAGTGTCATATATTTCATTTTACTTCAAAAGAAAAATTAGTAGAATGGGTAAATTTATGGTTTACTAGTTCATGTCTCTTCTCTCATACAGTCACTATCGTATATCCCTCTATCTTTATTATGAGCTGCTCTAAATACACTACTTTTCTATTTATTTTCCTCACTCTATTTCTATTTATAATTTAAAATTACATTTATCTATTTTTTGTCCGCTTTAACTTCATTTGTTCTATGTTTTGTTGGTATATCATGCAGTCTTACCACATCTCAAGCCTATAACCTAGCCACCTCAACAATCTGATTACCTTTTCACAAGATTCATTTTGTCTAAACTCAAGCACCCAAGTTTTCTTTGAGTACAGTGAGATTTATCTGAATACCTTATGTGTTATCTAGAGTATTTATCTTGGTTCAAAGTATAAAAGCTACTGGTAATTCTTTGATTAGTTCACTTTCACTCTAATTGCATTTAGATTTACTTTGAAAGTCTATCTTGATCCACTTAACATTGAGCAATTTAAAGTCCAAAATAGAACATGTTTTGGATTCTTTTCTTTTTAATTCAGTATTTGGTGCTTGTGCTATCTTTTCCATTAATCATTTATAGTATGTATTTATTATTTTAAAGTTTTCAAGAAATTTCTATTAAAGCCTTTCTGTGAATCATTGCTGCCAATAGACAAGCTCTAGTCTCTGGCAACTATTCTTTGTCTTCAGATTTGATCCCCTCAATATTGTCTTTTCATGTAAGTAGAACTGCCTTATCCAACTCTCTTTGATTGCACAAGCTTTTGTCATCAGTACAAAAACTTCAGGTCTAATATTCTATAAATATAAGGAATTCCATAATACTTTTGAAATGGTAACCAGTTAATATTCTGCACACAACAATCACTAATGGTCTGAGATGGTAACTAGCATATTAGTTAGCGAATCATTTTTGTTCGTTAGACTCTAGGTTTATTCCCTTATTAGTCCTGTTTCATGATGTGGTTACATCCTAGGTCACACAACACAAGATGGTAAATACTGTTTAGTTTTAGTTTTTGAGTCCAAGGCTCTGCAGTTGTCAGATTTTGAACAAATTAGGTATTCAGCTTTCTTTCCCTGGAGCATATATTTTTTTAATTATTTATATTTTGTATTCAATATTTTGATATGTGCATGAGGATGATCAATCTCTTTGCATCTTGGAGAGAACAAAAGTGCTAGAAACTAGATAACTCATGCGATCTTTTGCTTGTAACCTTTTTGGCTGGGATGGGATTGGAGTTCAAAAGAATTCAGAGAAGAGAAAATCAGAATAGAAACATCAAAAGACAGAAATACCAAAACCTAAATACCATTAATCCTTGTATTTTAAACAAAAATGAAGAATTCAACAAGCTTTGTGAGGATATATGAATACATGTGCTAGTTGAAATCATTAGGTCAGCGTGAGTTCAAATTAGTCAACTAATATAAAAAACCCACCCTTCTTGCAGTCAAATTCCCCCTTCCCTCTACACACTCCCATTTCATTTTCATTCTCGTCCAAAGAGCATACAAGAAACTCTTGAGTTGGTGTCTTCCATGATCTTTCAAGTCCAAGCCCTTTCGGATTTCTTAGGTGAGATTTCTCTCGACCCTCCCTCATTCTTTCCTTCTATTGTTTCATTCTTCCATCTAAGGCTTGTTTTAACTCTTGATTCATCTTTTGTTGATGGGAAAAATTTCCTTGTGTTGATGATGGTTTTGGTTTCTAGCTTAGGGAGTAGGGTGGACAAAATTAACTGTACTGCACTGAACTAGTAGATAAATATACTAAATTAAACTGAAAAAACTGAACTGAACAATTTTATGGTTAAGTTTGAAAAAATGAACTTCTAAAATTGCAGTTCAGTGCATTGATGAACTAACTGGAAAAAAACTTGTTCTGTTTTTTTCTTCTAACTGACCCACTCCTTTTGCTTAATGAATTGGGGAAAAACTTTGCTGAATTGTTCTTTTTGACTGAGGTCTTGTCCTCTATTGGGAAAATCTCTTGATTTGGTAAAATTTGCTGGGTTTTCATTTACGTGCGATTACAAATATTTGCCCTCAATTTTTATAGCTTCTTTTTTTTAACTATTCAAGTTAAGTTGCTTATCTTAAAATTTCATAGAAGGTTTGAAGTATTATTAATTTGTAAAAAATAGAAAATGTATAAAATATTTAAATAAAAAATATATAAATGCAACAAAGTTTTTTATGTAAATATTTTTATGTATTTTTCTTTCAAGAATGTATGCAAATTGATGGTATATCACTCTTTTATTACTTTTAGGGGAGCAGATTTTATAAACTTCCATGTTTGGTTCAAATTTTAGGAGAGAGGCAAGAATGGAGGGGAGCAAATCCCCTCCTCATCTAACTTTAGTTCTCCTCTAATATATTGTGGGGATTTGGAGGGGGTGATTTTAAAACATTTTTAATATAATATCCAAAATATTCTTACTTATGTTTTTAAATTCTAAATTATAAGGATACAAAGGTACTTAATTTTTAAAATCTATTCTCCTCTTGTGAATCAAACAAGAAAAGAGTTGTCTTCCTTCCTTTTTCCTCCCCTCCTCTCAAACAAACAAAATTTTAAACACTCCCCACCATTCCCTTTCCCTCCCCTCCCTTACCTTGAACCAAATAAACCCTTGATATATTAAAAGTTGGTTTGAAAATGGAGTATGTTCAGAGCGTTCAATTGGTTTTTTGTTTTGAACATGGTATAATAATAAGATCCTGTTGCTCCATTAAATTTAAAGATAAATTCTTTTGACTCCATTTACTCCAAAATTAATATCTTCATGTATATTAATTAATTTCTTTTACTCCATTAAATTTTAAGATAAATTCTACATTTATATCCTCCCAATAAAACATTTAAAGTTCAGATTCAAAGTTAAATACATTTATGACCACCATTAATAAAATTCTTTATTTTCTTATTCACTCCCATGAAAACTATTTTCATATATCTTTAAAGGACACAACTCATTTTTATTAATAAAGGAAGAGAGAGAGTGAATGAAACTCTTCCAAAACTGCAAAATTCAAATTAGGCCACAAAAGCGTATTTGTTTTTCACATTCTTCGCTAATCTTGCCACCTCATCATTGAAGGAGAGAAAAAAAGTTCCCAAAACAAGTATTAAAACATCATATCATCACCCGTATTAAGCTGCGTTTTTTTAGTGTCTTATTAGACACAAATTCAAAGTTAGTTTGAAACTCATCAAAAAGAGTCTTTGGTACATTTGTGCTTTTACAATCCTGTTGACTCTTGCATCGATCTCCAACTCTAACATGAAACTTTGATTCTCTGCTCAATTTCAGAATTTGAACGAGGTTGCCTCCGACTCCATCATGGAACTTGGATCTACATCGCATCAGAATTTGAATGCGGTTGCTGCTGATGGCATAAAATCGAAGCGTTCTGATCCTCAAAAAGTTCAAAGAAATAGAACCTATGATCATGCAAATGGAAAAACTTGCCACCAGGTACTTTTGTTTTGAGTTTTTATGATACCCATTTCCTTGTTTGTGTTTTTGCATTGTAGGGTGTGGTAGTTTGTGGAGAAGGTGAGATTGAATGTGGGATATGTGGGATATGTGAGAAAAAGTGTAAATTATGTGAAAAAGGGGATCTTTGGTTGATGGGTTGTATAATAATGATGATGTACCATTGAGCATGTGGATCTACCAGCACAAGGTTGTTTCAACAAGTAGTCTCAAGTTTGAGTCCTAAATATCCAACAGTGTTAAATAGAGAGTTTTTCTGCCCATAATAGTCATATGTGGTTCAAGAATTGTTGTCGATGATGATTATGATGTTTGTGGCGTTGTATTTTTTCTTTTTCTATGTTTTGTTCTGTTTTGCATTATGGGGTGTGGTGGTTTGTAGAGAAGGTGAAATCCGGATGTGGGTATGTGAAAGAATGTGGCAATTGTGTGAAAAATCGGAACTTTGGTTGATGGAATTGTATGATGATGATGCTTGTGCGTAGTTTTGCTTTTAATTTGTGTGTGTACTTATATCTGTTCTTGTTTTTAGATTTTGAAGTTTGTTCAAATGATAACCTTTGTTGTTTGCTTGGTGTTCTACATTGAAGTGTCGACAGAAAAAAAGGGATTTTGCTGCTACTTGTAAGAATTTGAAAAAGGGGAAGCCTTGTACCATCAAGTTCTGCCACAGCTGCCTCTTGAACTGGTTAGGTTCAACAATATATACATCAAGTTTTCTTTTTATTTTTAAAGTTTTTTTATTTTTCAGAATTATTCTTTTTTTTAGGTGTATTTTTAACCTTGTGTATGAAAAAGGCTTTCTTGCCTGGCAAGAGTGTGCAAAGATCAATAACTTTGTAAGTGTCCAAACACACTTGTAGAAATCACCAAGACCTTTTTTCTTTTTCTTTTTTTGTACAAGACAATGGTATCCTCTAGGGTAGACGATTTTGCTTGAATTTAGTAGGACCACCAAGAGTTATGCTGGCCATGGTGGTCTTACCTACTTCGAGCAAGAATATCTCTCATGGAAGGTACTAGTCGCCTCGTACAACAAAAAATGACCAAACACATTTTGGTGATCTCTGTGTATGGGGACTCATTGCAAGGCAACAGATCTTTGGATACTCTTACAAAGCAAGAATCTACATCAATTTTGCTAAAAAACATGGATACTATGACTATTAGCTTTTATGCAAACATGAAATTCCATGTAACAAACGTGGAACCAAACATGCTATATGTCTCAAAGGAATTAGTCTTTGATTGTTGTTTGGGAGACATCCTTGGTTCAATGTACAAACTAAAAGAAATAGAGTATAATAGTCCTTGTATATTTGTATGTGTTTTCCCTTTTAAGGATTTTTGGTGGTGCATTAGGTATGGGGAGAATGATGAAGAGGTAGGGCAGTTGGGTGATTGGATATGTATAAAGTGTAGAAACCTCTGCAACTGTAGTGTTTGTCGGTGAGTTTCTTTTTCTTTATTTCTTTGTGTGTTTTGAGTTGGTATTTATTTATTGTTCCTATGAGTTCATTCTGAAAGAAAAGTGATATTTATAGGAAAAAGGCTGGTAAAAAACCTACTGGGCAATTAATTTATAAAGCTAGAGAATTGGGTTTCAAGTGTGTGTCAGAATTGCTTACCGTGATGCCTTCTGAAGCTTTTGATTCAAATGGGGACATTGATGTTGCTGCTTTGCCTTCAAAGGAAGCAAATATTGAAAAGGTATGCTATTTTTCTTTCCATGCCCCTTCCCATCTATCCTATGTTCGACAAATTAAGTTACGGTTGCTGGTTAAAGAAGCTCTCCTCTTGAATCATGTAAATTCATGTTGTGTTAATTATGACAGGAGCAAAAATGTGTTGATAATTCAAGTTCTGATAAGGTTATTATAAGCAAAGGTGTTTCACATGTTAAGAAAATTGAATCAGATAAGGTACTATAGTTATTTTGTTTTGTTTTATTTATCTTAGTTTTTGGCAGATAAATATTACAGATTGGTGTAGCCAGGCAGAGGAGTTGATTTTTACCACATTATTATATATGAACATTCAAGATTGTTTTACTTAAATATTTTTTTGACTATCCATTTTTAATGGTATGATTAAAAACTTTTAAAATTTAATTCTCTTAGTTATGATACACTTGTACTTTAAAATGGAGGATGTATCCATATCATACTTATACCAGATATTAATATCTTCACAGAGGTTGCTTTTTATGTAAACTCAATTCTTATCTTTAAAGGTGAATGATATATGGACACTCACATATCACAAACTCCTATTAGACACTTCGAATTTTTTGTTATCTCTTTCTTATCACATCATATCATTTATCAATGTATGTTTTGTTCCTTGCAAAATGAAAGGATCAATATCATAAATTGAATATAATATTTTTACTTAATTTTGATTGTGATTATATATTTCTAACAAAATTTTCAAGAGATAAAAGACTAGCAATAACATCATGACAATGGCAAACCAATATCAATACAAGAATCAAGAAATTGGGAAAACCAGTTAATAAAATATAAGTAATTTATAAATATATGTTTATTTAATATATTTTTGTATCAATATTCTTTTCCTTTTTTTTAAAAAAAAAATTTGTCATATTTACACCTATAGCATTGTGTTAGGACTTTGGGATCATTGTGTCTTATCTTATACTTTCATGTAGCCATGCATGATGCATCATAAGCCCTTATTCTCTTGTGGATTTTGGTTGTTCTTGTTTATCTTTTGCAGGAGCTTGTAGTACTTCACTCAAGAGAATATGGGATGGAAAACTCTCTAGATGGAAACAATTATTTAAAGCTTGACCCTTCGAACGCTCAGAAGACATCATCACCCAAAATATCTAAGAAAACAAAGTCTAAAGATTTAAAGGAAATATCTAATGGGAATAATGTTGATGGTGCTAGCAAAAAGAAGAGTCTGAAAAGACCTAAAATTTGCAAACAAGTTCCATCGGAAGTATTAAAAGGAAATACAAATGATGACACCAAAGTTTGTGGCAACACTATAGTTATAAGTGATGATGCTAGTGCTGTGCTTCAAGCAAAAATAACATCGTTCCAAACTGTTGGTGTGAACTTAGAGATAGAAAAAATTGAAGAGGAAATTCCTGATGTGAACTTAGAGATAGAAAAAATTGAAGAGGAAATTCCTGATGTGAACTTAGAGATAGAAAAAATTGAAGAGGAAATTCCTTTGCCCTCTGGAGTTGAGTTAACAAAAATATTAGACATTGAGTTTCGACCTGAAGATGTTGGGAATGCATTACAATTTTTAGAGTTCTGTAAAGTGTTTGGAAAGGTATGACTACATGTTAACTTCTTTGATAATTTTCTCACAAGCTTTGATTAGTCACAATTTACTATTACAGGTAGTTGTTGAGCAACTAAATATATATATGGTTTGTTTGTTTAAACTTCTTTTCTTACAAAAGCACTTCTTTTTAATAAAATAAGCATTTTTTTTTACTTTTTGTTGTGTTTGCCTAAACTTTTTTTTTTTAAATAAGCAATTTTATGCCTTTTTTAAGAAGCAATTCCTATCTGTTTCTTAAAGAATTTTTTTAAAAAAATTATTTATTTATAAACACTTATTTTAAGTTTAAACAAACAACCCATAATTGGCAAATTCTTTTAATGCTATACACTATACAGTAATATTACAAAATTGGAACTATTTACTATTTTTTAAATATCATACAACTTAAAAATCAAATGGCAGATTTTTTGTAGTCGGTCATTTAATTGAATGATTACATGATGAAAGGGATATTTTCTTGTGTTACATTAAATTAAATTATACGATACACTCTAGATATAATGGTGTTATTGTTACATATATAAATATTGTTTATACTTAATGATGTTGCAGTCAGTCATAATTGTTTTATCTTGTGTTACTTCATATTTAATCTTGTGTATAATTTTGTCAGGCTCTTGACCTCAAGGAAAGAGAAGGTGAAGCCATTTTACAAGAATTAGTATGCAAACAAAATTTGCGTCAAGGACAAAACACCACAACCTTAGTGGTTCAGTTTCAAATTAGAGTGTTGACTCTGATACTAATTGATTCGGGAAATGAGTGAGTTATCCATTATAGTTTGTGGTTCAGTTTCAAATTAGAGTGTTGACTCTGATACTAATTGATTCGGGAAATGAGTGAGTTATCCATTATAGTTTGTGGTTCAGTTTCAAATTAGAGTGTTGACTCTGATACTAATTGATTCGGGAAATGAGTGAGTTATCCATTATAGTTTGTGGTTCAGTTTCAAATTAGAGGGTTGACTCTGATACTAATTGATTCGGGAAATGAGTGAGTTATCCATTATAGTTTTTATTTATTTGTTTGTTTCTTTATACTTTTGGGGGTGACAAATTTTTCTATGATGTACTTGGATTAAAGTTGCATAATTTGGTTTAGGTCTCCATCCTTAACTACTGGCAATGGAAGTAATTCATGGTTGAAACCTCTGGAAGATTTAATTACCAAATCTAATCTTGTACTCAAAGATTTTCCCTTGGATTGGCTTCAAGAAGGCATTAGTGGATACTACCATTTGGATTTATCTAAAAAGCTTATTCTGTTGAATTTTCTTTGTGATGAAGCTTTAGGCACAGAGTAAGTATTTTTAGTACAATTAGAAAATAATTTTATTGTGTATTTTGTTATTGTTTTATTGTTTTCATCTCTGCAATTATTGTTTCCTTTTCTTTTCTTTTGTTGTCTTCTTAATCTTGTTTAAAGTTGTTGAAAACTTGCTTAATATGTGTAGGAAACTAAGGAGATACATTGAAGATCAAAATTCAATGCATGCAAAACAAGTAAAAGAAACAAAATCCAAGGTTGCTGTAGCCAAAGAAAAGGTAACAGGAAATAAGGTGTCATGTTCTTTGTATCTGGATTGTCCTTGCTATTACATTGTGTGTGAAACTTTTTATGCATGTTATCTACAGGAAAAAAGTCTTAAGCAGAAGTTGCAGAATGAGAGGGATAAAGTTGTTACTTCAAATGTGGCTCCCCTTCTAATGGAGGATATTGATGCTCTTACAAACATACAAAGTGAAGTGGTTCAGGCTCATGCTGAGATGCTTGAGTTAAAGAGAACAATTCCTAAAGGTATGCTTGTTTATGAATTATGCATCAATCATGTCTCTTAAATCAGAATATTTAGGTGATGGTACAAAATTCTATAATTCAAAAAACTATCCAAGTTGCAATCAAGCAATAATTATCATAGGAAAATTAAAGTGAACTATTTTTTTTATTACACTTACATGAAAAAGAACTAATGTATACTCATATGACAAACTTCCATTGGTATATCATATGCTTTTAGATTCTACAGTAATTTTGCTTGCATCCTTAATGATATTATAATTTTGGTTTAATATATCAATTGGTCTTTGAACTTTTTGGAAAATTTTAATTAGGTCCCTAAACTTTAAAAATTTGCAATCAAGTCTTTAATCTTTTATGTTTCTTGAAATTGAGGTCCTATAGTTAATTTGTGGCAATTTTAAATTGTTACAAAAATAATATTTTGTGACAGTTTTCCTAACTCTGTGGAATTAATTACAAAAGTTATAAAAGATCAAATGACTTAATTACAATTTTTAGTTTTGGGGCCTAATTGAAATTTGTCAAAAAGTTTAAGAACCGAATGATCTATTAAACTTATAATTTTGTTATATACTTATTTTTCATTTGATCTAGGTCGAGACTTGGTTTGGTAAATAAATAAGTCTCTTACCGAAGCCAAAATGGAAAATTATGTGTTACTTTCTATCTTATAAAAACGTAATGTTTCTAATATTGAATGGTTGACATTTGTTCTTCTAATATATTATAGAGAAACATAATTCTGATGCTATGAGAACCAAGCCTGAGTTTTTGGACAACAATGGTCATGCATTTTGGAAACTAAAAAGTTACAATGCTCATGATGTTCTGTTGCAAGGTAATTCTCAAAATGCATTAGCTTAATTATTTGGAATGATGATACTGTCGTGATTTGGGTTATAGCAAGTTTTCTAAAATAAAGCAACATGCAGATATTAAAATAATGGATGAAACTGCTACATCTCCAAATGAAAAATGGGTTGTTTATGGTCCTGAGAAGAAGGTTGATGTTGACAAATACATTTCCTCAAGGTGAGTTTTGTTATTAAAGCTGAAGTGGATGATTGTTTTCTTGGTTTTGGATATGGTACTTGATATTAGAGAATTTTCAATTTTTATATTTGTTAAGAACATGATTAGTTATGAAAGCTAGCTTCAGTGAAGGTGTTGAATATTTCGTTGAAAGAATAGTGATCACTCATTATATGTTGGAACATACAAAGATAGATTTCAAAATATAATAAAATATATATTTTGTAATGGTAGTTTTTTTTAAGCTATTAATAAAGAAATCTAATGAAATATTAAAATGGATTCTAAGAAATCATCTAAGATACTTTGATATATAATAATGATAATATGTGATATTTTAACAATCTAAATAGTCAGTTTTAAATTTAATACCTTATTCATTTAAATTTAACTCTGTCCATGCATGCAATTATCTACCATTGTGAGTGCAACATTTTTGTTTGAAGTTCAAGCACGAGGATAAGGGAAGGGAACATGTGGTTGAACACATCTGTGAATATTGAATACAATAGATTTGTTAGTGAATTCTACTTATATAGCTTATGAATAATGCTCATAAGGTGAAATCAATTAAGTACATTTATTTTTTGAAGGGTTAAGAGATGTAAAAGTCGAAAGATTTCTCACATGCTTTACGATGAAGCAAATCCATAGGATGTTCATGGTTAGTATTGCAATCTTTAATTATAATTTACAATTGGGCATCTATTATTGCTTCAAGTATTATCTAACTTGCAACAGGTCTAACATAGTTTTAAATTTTCATAATAACATAAATATTTGCAAAAACACATTCATTGTCAGGTAAATTGCATATTGGTCTTCTCCCTAAGAATGTTGGTGATATATTTTGAGATTCAAGTCTCAATTCTTGGGTTGTGGCTTATATATTTATTGGGCAATTTTACTTGATATTAATTGGTTGAAAGATGAAATCTAAAATATTGTATCAAAGTCTATGGTTCATTTTTGTGATTCTTCTATTTTGGTAGGCATTGCTTGTTTTGACAAGCATTTGTGGAAGAGAGTATTGGGAGTCTTGTCGATTGAATTTGAGATGAAATTTAACAAATTTATCTAATAATAATGTAAAAAAAAATGTGTTGTTTACTATTTGTAACATGATATGCATTTTTTTTGTTTTGAACTTGAATATGATTATAACATGAAAAAGTTATTCTTGATTTCACAGGTTTTGGTGGTGGTGGGAGTCTTATTCTCTCCATAAAATACTTGTGAGAGTAAACAAAGTACACATCTTTTGGATGATTGATTGTTTTTATTGAGTTGAGTGAGTTCCCTCCATTCTTAGTGTTGCGTACAAAGAAAACTTCATTGTGATAAATAATCTACATATAAGAAGAGTCTCTTGTTTTTTATGTTATGATAAAAATTTGAAACATGGGTTCCTTACATCGTATTTCAGTGGACTGGTGGACTGGAAGCTTGTGACATCTTTATATTTATTTTCTAAATTGTTGGATTATTTATTTTGTATTTACTTTTGAATAGCTAGATTGAAAACTTGATTTTGAAAGACAATTCAAATTAAAATAATGAGTGCTATTTAGTTGTGATTTTTATTTATTTATTGTTTATCCAAAACGAGGCCAAAAACAAATATAAAAAATATTAAATACGTTTTCAATTCATAAGTTATTTTAGAAGTTCATTTTTAGTTTCTAATGCAAATTTTGACGAGTCATGATTCTTGAATATTTTCTCTATTATTACTTTTAGTTTTTGTTGCATTGTTGCACACAATGCAAACCGATGGTTGATAACTAAATTAAATGGGAGATGTGGTATAGATGGTTTGAACACATCAATTTTAGAAAAAAAATTTATTCTTATTTTATTATAAAAAAATAATTAAAAACTATTTGATGTTTATTGAAATACTTTTTATACTTTTAAACTTAATCTTACAAACATGAGACGCATTCTAACGTGGGAAAGGGACAATGTCTCCAACGATGGGGGGCTTTTTTCCATAACCTTTAGATAAAAGCTTTCAAATATCGATGGTCCGGATTAGCAAAAAAAACACGTGGTAATAAAGCACCATATAATATTTGTATTTTAATTTTTTTAAAACAGGTAGTTCTCGTGTTGAAGCATGTGTTAGTTATTGACGAAATTTTCTTGATGCCTGTGTAACCATCGATTAAATGGTTCAGTCTTCTTATTTTTGACCCAAAATAATGCATGAATTTATTGTTTTTTTTATTTATTTATAATAATTGTGACATTCTCTAAGAATTCAATAATTATATAGAAGAGTTTTTCAAATAATTTTACCGAATAAATTGAAACCATCAAAGGCTAAAAGTATCACATTATAATTAAAATTAAACAATAAGCAAAGTTGTGTTTAACAGTAATTACAAGGAAATCAAAATTTAAAACTTAACATCAAATCAACTAATAGAATTAAATCATAGTTTAATAATTAACTAAAAATATGAAAGTTTTATTTATTGTTCCGATGTCACATCTTATTACAACACTCTCAATACAAAGTTTAAACCTCATCTCTAATCACATTATTTCATAAATTGTTTTCACTTACATCCACATTCCAAAACAAATCATAAAAGAAAGGAAAGTAAGAAACATCTAATTCTAATTATCAATGCAAGTTATGACTAGGTAGACTAGGTAATCAAAACAATATATATAAATTGACAATGAATATCAATAAATATTCAATACAGTTCAATAGCACACCATCCATTATATATCAAATCCACAATTCTCAATCAACCAAGATATAATTATTATGTTATGACAATGCAATGGGCAAAACAATCCTAAATATATGCATGTGACGTCAATAAAATGATTATCAACGGTCAATTGGTGTCCAATACCCTAGGAGAACATGCTCAATCATAGTCATAATAACACTCTACACTAAGAGGATATGTAATAAGGCGCCTTAGGATATTGATTTTGGCCAAATTACACCACATGCACACATTAGGAGGAACTAGAGCTCCAAAACTTGTTATCTCTAAGGTCATGAATCCTCAAGCTTTTACACAAGGAAAACTTTTCCTATTGACGTATTTCACATTGTACCCATTAAAACAATCAATTGATGCATGCCATACAAGACTCTTATGCAATTCGTGTTCAACACCATTCACCCACTCAAACTCATATAAATATATTTATCATTCTTACAATAGATTTAATTCAAATACTGCATGAGGTACAACTAGCTAAGCAATATCACCTAGATTTTTCACACGATTAAGTTAAACTTAGACTTTATTAAATGATTATCATACATTTCTTACACAACAACACATCACACATCAACAATGTCACTTTAACCAATACATACATTTATTCCAAAAGTAATTCAATACAACGTTCTTAATTAAACAACATAGGGCATTCAAAATTATCAAAACTCCATATTTATAAGTAAAACAATTTTGTATGAATATGGCGAAGTTTGTTAAAGGATACTTACGCCTAGTGTGATAGAGACCACGAACAAACTTTGCTCTTTAAAAGGATCATGCTAATCGCAACCCTCCCACACCTAGGGAATTTGCAACAGGGAGTCCTTGAAGCTCTCATGCCTAACGTGACACTACCCGTCCGACGTAAATGTATTAGAGAACAACTTGTCATCTCTATCGAGCTCGTGCCCAACAGTCATTCATGACACTCAAAGTTGCGTCAATTTAGACACACCTACAAAATCATGAATCTTACACATTATTTGACATAATTATTCTACAGATTTTTAATTTCATATGTTATATATTATTTAATTTAATTCTTATTTATAAAAATATATTATTTGATTATTATAATTAAATACTAGTTATGAAATATGTTGAATTTTCAATATTTATATCCATTTATTTAATATATATAATACAATAATTAAATAATATTAAATATATATTATAAATTTATTGTTCAATTCTTTTTTATAATTTTATGTCATAAACATTTTATGAAATTTTATTAAAAATGTTTAAACCAAACACGTTTTCTAATTTTAAATTTTAAAATTAAAAATTATTTTCTAAAATAAAAAATAGAAAATGTTTTTTTAAGCCAAATGCACCCTAAACTTCTCACTAACAACAATACTAGATTATTTAGCAACAACCTCTTCAACAACACTTGGCTCAAGAAACCCATCTGCAACAGTTTCCTCATCAAGAACTTGTGCTTCAATAGAAGCTTCAACCTGCACATTCATGAGGTTCACTAGTCACCTTAGCTTCAACATCCTTAGTTTGTCCACTTGCCCTTATGCACCAAGCTTGCAATGCATGCAATGGGCTCATCATCATTTGAATCATCATGCAACACCAATAATGTCTTCTTTTAGGTGGCTCTACCAGTCTTCCACCTTTTAGGGGCTTTTCATGTAAGAACTACAGAAGATTTAGACTTAGAGTCCTTCCTCTTAGATCCTCTAAATCTTGAAAATAAGAAGTTATTGGTTGTTGTCCAAAAATAAAATAGAGTCTTATTAAGAAAAAAGTAGTAATAAATAAAAAATCATCATAATTAATTATAAAATCTAATTATTATATTAAATATAAATTATATTTTTTCAATATAACCAGTCCTATTATTCAATATACGACAAGAGACCAATTTTTTTTTTAACTAGCTATATTTGTTTTATGATTAAAAAAAAAAACAAAATCCAGGTGTAATCATACCGGCACTAATGCACCGGATCCCATCTTATAAAAATAAACAATTAACCAGAGTTTTATTAAAGAAACAAAGTAATTAAAATACTAAAAAAATTAGGCATATATAGAAACTATTTTTTCATATAAAAAATTTAGTATAATTGGTTAAATAAACAATCTTAATAAAATCACTAGGGTTAGCTTAGTGATTGGGTAGGGAAGGGTTGAGGTAGTTAGAAATATGAAGATCTAAGTTCAATTCTCGATGCAATTATCTTTGTAATCTTTCCTATTTAAAAAAAAAAAAATCTTAATATCATCCTTATTCTCACTCTTTAAAAAAAAAAATACTTGTCGTTTAAGTATGTCATCGAATGAATCGTTACATAACTAAAAATTAAAATGAATAAGAAATAAAACAACAGTTTGAAATTTATTTATTTTACTTCTTGATATATATTATCTGAAAGATAAAGAGGACACGTGGCCCAAATTTTTGGCGGTTGAGGAGCACCTGAGCTACTCATTTCCTCACACTCTGCGTTTGGGTTTGTGAAACAAAGAAAGAGCATTCTCGTTTCCCCCTTCTTTGCGATGCCAGGTGGAGCCACCGTCTGCTCCGGTCACCGGTTTCTCTGCGTTCTCCCGCATTCAACTCGTCCCCGACTCACCCTCCCAACTCGGTCGCGACCCGTTCCGGTTCAGCTCGGATCCATATCCATATCCACATCCCTTACGAATGGCGGTAGCAACCGGTTCGGTTCAAAGTTGAGTCTTATTCCCAGAGCTGCTGATTCTTCCTCCGCCCAACCGTCTCTCGTTCCCGACGATGACTTCTCCATTTCTAAGGTATTTTTTTTTTCCTTTTTCGTATTTCAACCAATGAACCGAACCGGACCGGTTTCTGGAAGAACTTATTTACTGTTTATTTGGATTTATTTTATGTGTTTTCTCTCTTAGTTTATGAGCTTCTTGAATCTCTTAAACTTAAAATGTTTATGGTTCTACCATGTTCAACCTGATTGTCTCAAGTGAAGGATAATTTTCACAGTATTGCTCTATTTTCTTAGTATATGTTTGGTAGAAAAGAAAGAAATAGGGTGGAAAGAAATAAGTGTGATAGAAATAGAGAAGAAAGAAAGAAATAAAGTGAACTTTTGAATTATTTGGTTTATGAGGAATAGAAGGAAGAGAAAAGAGAGGAAAGTAATTGTAAGAACAAATGAATTCCATTTTTGCCCTTAACAAATAACTCAACTGCAATGGGTGTTGACACATTTTCTCATCAAGTCTTTTGGTCTAATGGTTGCAAGTGCTGCGTTGGGACATGGGGCATCGACATGATGCTCCCAAGTATGATTCTTGAATGTGTTAAAATAATGTTTGATCAATAGAAGTCATGATTAATTTTTGGTTGTCAGCTTTGAGACATATTATGTTCATGGAAAAAAAAAGTATAATCAATTGTAGAGGTGCAAATTGATTGTTTCAATGATTCAATTTATTGTCTAGGAATTTCAGTTGATTAACGTTGCAAATTATGAAGTGTGAATATGTGGTTCTATGCTAATCGATTGTTTCACTGGTTCAATCAGTTGTTTAGGGATTTCAGTTGATTAAAGTTGCAAATTATGGAGCATGAATACGTAGTTCTATGCTTCAATTGATTAATTAGGAAACTCAATCAATTCAAGTTGCAAATTATTGAGATAGAATACACAATCCTTTGCTTTTGTGGTCGTAAGAGTGTTGGGTATTTTTGTCCAAAAAGTTTTTGTGCTTCTTGTGAAGCAATTTCGTTGCATTTTCCACCCACTCAATGCAGAAAAGAAAGACACATGGGAGTATGGGACCCACCACATTTTTTTATTTATTCTTTCCTCACTCTCTCAACGGCACCAAATAACCATTCATGAATAAACTCACCCCTATTTCTGTCATTCCCTCCCTCTTCTTTGGCTAATTAGCAGTACCAAACAGGGTGTTAGTGCCTATATGTCTGTGTCAGAGAGTATCACATTAACTTGTTCAACATATCATAACTGTGAAACATGCCATATTAGATGGGCATTTTCCAAACAACTAAAGTTAAAACTGCTTGTGTGCTGAACTGACAAAATGACTAATTTAGTTTGGCAAAGCTATTTAAAAGATCAAAGTGAAACTTTTTAAAATTAACATATCAAATTAAAACTAAAATTTAGGAGGAGAGGTGCCATAAAAAAGTATGTCTTTATTTTATCTTGTAAGCATGTGTTAATGCTTAAAAGAACTAATAAAAATATGTTATGACCTATGAAGCCTGGATACTCTAAAAATGGAAAAGTATGATGTCTTACCCGTATCAAACACCGATACGGCTAGGATATGCCAGGATACGTATCCAAGGAGTATCTGATTATTTTTTATTGTTTTTGTAAAAAAAAATTATTGGATACAGCTCTGATACGACTCCGCTCACAATGGCTAGATACGGCTTTATAACATGTGATATGGCTTGGATGCGTTTTTTTTATCCAAATGTTTGTTTTATTAATATTTTAAATATTTATTTTTAGTTTTAAAATTTTTAAACAGAAAAAACCTTTTAAAAGTTAATATACATATTCTACAAAGACACATTTCTCTCTTTTTTTACTTATATTTTATATTTATATAAAATTTTCTATTTTTTTAATGTATCTATAACGTATCATATCCTTAGTTTCAAAAAAAAAAAATCGTATCCCCATATCTGTGTCGTATTGTACCTGTGTCGTACTAAGTATCTAGGCTTCATAGGTTATGACATCTCTATAAATTATTTATAGCTGTTCCCGTAACTTATGAAAATAATTTGGTTATATTTTCTCTTCAATTATATAATTGAGTTATATAATAAGTGTTTTGTTTTGATGTAAATGTTTGAAAGAACTTATGACATGTCCATGAACTATTTTCACCTCATCAGGATAAGTTATGAAAATAAATTATGCATAGGTGAAAATGATTTAACCTTATTTCTTTTTCAATTATGAAATAACTTGTGCATAATTGTTTACATGATAAGCACTTATTTAATAAGAACCTAATCAAGTTGTCTATTAAAATACACCCAACCAAATGCCAAATTTAGGAAGTGTTTTCTATTTCCTGTTACCACAAATAATTACAATATTCTCAAGTTATTTTTACTTCCTTTTCTGTTTTCAAGGATTTTAGTATGTATATGAAATGATGTATGTGAAAGTAAGAAATAAACTAAAAATGTTGTGATGTTTTTGTATTTATGTGTTAAATACAAGAAAATAACAATAAAAAGGATTTCTTGAACCAATAAACTTTAATATTTCCCTTAATGGAAAAGGATTTGGGTTACACCACAGTTACTATGTGGTTTTTTCTAACAATCTTCTTATGTTAGTTTAACAATGTATAATTAATAAAATAAAATTTTATTTTTGAGAGGGTACTACTACAATTAATAGTACATTATGAGACAAGTGCAGATTTCAGTAACTCGTGCTTTACTTTTTACTATATATTAGTATTTTGTGGAATATTCAACAACACTGGATTTTGGTCAGAGAAGCAAGAAAAGAAATATTGAATTATTGATGATATATACTGTGGGGTGAATGAATTTACACATGTTGCAAGTGTGATCTCTTCCTAGATGTCTGGTGGTGACAATGATATATGGCAGTGAATTGGTGATTTGTGCGTAATATTTTCCTTGTCTTTGAGGGAACTCTTATTTATTATTGCAACTTGTAAGTTTTGGTTCATGTCACTCATCTTGGCTTGCTGATTCGCAGATTTATATCATTGTGCTTGACCTTACAACATAAAGTTTTATAACTAGTTGTTTGGTGGTTGCAGGTTTCATTTGGTGTGATTGGTCTAGGTGTTGGACTCTCACTCTTATCGTGAGTTTTTTTATCATTTTTTTCACCTTCTTCGTTGGTTTTATATAATATGTCAAGTGTTTCTGTTTCTTATTTTAGTTGTTTGTTTCATGCAGCTATGGTTTTGGAGCATATTTTAATCTTTTCCCCGGATCTGAATGGTCAGCTATAATGTTAACATATGGCTTCCCTCTTGCAATTATTGGAATGGCACTCAAGGTAGAGAAAGTGTTACTGATGTGAATAAATTTATAAGATGGACATTCATCATAACAAAATTGTGCAAGAGTCATGTTAGGAGTTTCCCTTCTTAATGTTTATGTTGTTGCTTCATAGTTTTATTTGTACATTGGTGTTTTAATGGATGCTCGTTTGGGTCATACTATCCTTGTATTCATATTTTGTCCTGGGCCATCTTTTTTGCAGTATGCAGAACTCAAGCCAGTCCTGTGCCTCACATATTCCGATGCTCAAAGCTTGAGGGAAAAATGTGCAACTCCAATTCTTAAACAGGTAATCTCATCATAGACTCATGCTTACTGCCCAGCTAGTTGTCATTTTAAATTACACATTAATGATGCTGACTTATTAAAGAGTTAACCTTTTTATTAATATGTATAGTTTTGACTAGATTCGACTTATTTATTATTGCCCCTGTTAGCTTGCCCTTTTTATTCTGGACTGGGCTCATGTTGGTCATCCAGTAATAATACATAGTCCATTTTGAGTAGCATTCATGGGTCATGTCAGAATTACCAATGGCATACAGCTGTACATCTCCCAAGCGAAATTAGTTCATTCAATGTCAAATCCCTCCATGATTTTCAAAATATTTTTAGTTTGATTGTTTATTACCATTAGATTCAATTTTTCATCCAATCACTCATTTTTACTCACTGATAGTCTGTCTAACCTAGATGGTTTTGAATATCGAATGTATTAAGTTGTCATCTTGTGCTTTCACAGGTGAAGAGTGATGTTACCAGATATCGCTATGGAGATGAGCAGCATTTGGATGAGGCATTGAAACGGATATTCCAGTATGGTCAAGTATGTTATTAATCAATAAATTATCTTTTAGGTACTTATTAGCTTTTTGCATATTATCTATTTCTCCATTTGTAAGCATTAAATGAAACATAAAAGTAATAAATAAATAAATAAAAAGATCTCTGTTTTCTACCTATGTTTGAAATGAAACTCAACACAATACATGGACCCAGGTCAGTTTTGACAATATGTCCTGTGACTGTTAAAATGAAAGCCCATTTTCAAGTCTTCACCTTATAACTTCAGCTATTTGGCAAATACACATGAATATCTTTCCATACTACGTCTCTAACAATCTTCATCCAAGCCAGCAGCATTAGTTAAATAGTGACATTGCCTACTATATGTCCTTGTTGCAAGTGGGATTTAATCTTTCATCTTCTGCAGCACGTGATGTGTTCTTCAATTTTGAGACATCATTTTGTTTTCTTTTTGTTTCAGGGAGGAGGAATACCAAGGAGAAGTGCTCCTGTTCTACAAATGATTCGCGAAGAAGTATGCTTGTCAATTTTGCATTAATTTATCAATCAATGAGATTATTTAAGTCTCATTTCATAGTACTTACTAGATTATTTGGAAATACAGAAAAAGAAATAATGACATATATCTCATTTGACTTTAAAAAAAATTAGTAGTGTGTAAATTTTTTATACTACTTCATGTCTCTTCTATCATGTGCACACTATCTTCCATCCCTCTATGTAATGGACTGCTCTAAATACACTATGTTTCCTTTTTTTTCCCTCATTCTATTACTCTTTATATAATTAAAAATTATATTTATGTTCTTTTGTCTGTTTTAACTTCGTTTGTTCTATCTTTTGTTGGTATACCATAGTGCCTTACTGCATATTAAGCTTATACCTCTATCCTTATCCCTACCCACCAGGCCACCTCAACAACCTGACCTTTCAAATGATTCATTTTGATTAAACTCGAGCAAGCTCTAGTCTAATTTCAAGTCTAAAATAGAACATGTTGAGTTCTCGTCTAATCCCACTTTTGGTACTTGTGCTATATTTTCTGTTAATCAATGTTGCCACCGGTCAAGCTCTATTCTCCAGCAGCTATTTTTTCTCTTGAGATTAGATCCCCTCAATATTTTATTTTCATTTAAATAGAATAGGCCTACTTAACCCATTTTGGTTGCTCAGGCTTTTGTCATTAGTACAAAACCCTTCTAGTCTAATATTATATGAATATAAGGGATTCCATAATACTTTTGAAATGGTAACCTGTTAATATTCTTCATACAACAATCCCTGTTGATCTGAGATCCTGCCTAACATAATAGTTAGGGGATCATTTATATTGATTAAACTCTATGGTCATTCCCTTATTAATTCTGTCTCATGATGTGATCACATCTTAGGTCACAGAAGATGGTAAATACTGTTTGGTTTTAGTTTTTGAGGCCAAGGATCTGCAGTTGTCCGATTTTGAAAAACGACAGGTATTCAGCTTTCTTTCCTGAAGCATAATTTAAATTTTGCTTTCACTTTTTTAACATGTTCGTGGAGATGATGGAACTCTCTGAATTTTGGAGAATAAAAAAAGTGCTAGAAACTGGATAACTCATGTTATCTTTTGTTTGTAATGACTAATGAGGTTTAAAAGAATTCAGATAAGAGAAAATCAGAGTAGAAGAATCATAAGACAGAAGTACCAAAACCAAAATCTCGTATCACCTTGTATTTTAATTATAAAGGATGTTCATAACTTGTACTGTCTCATTAACTCATCCAGCACCAAACTAATTGACATATTCAGGTTGAGAGTGGGTTTGGATTATATTTCCGGCTTGTCTCAACCTAGATTAATGTCCTATATTCTTTTGAAATTTATATAATTCTCAATAATTATGTAAATAGTAATTAATAAGATTTACTGACTTAATGGATAACATTTTGCATATATGGATATTATTTGTTTTGAAATTTATACTATCAATAAAACTTAATTTTGTTCTATACTTTTAATTCTATAATTTAGTTATACTGTTATACTTAATTTTAAGATTGATATATTATGTCAACAAATGAGGTTGATCCAATCATGTACAATTTATTAAGGAGTTAAGTTCAAATAAATGACCTGATCAAAATTTTGAGTTGGGTATAGAGTAAGATAAACTAGTCCCAACCCATTGACTATGATTTATCAAGTCCAAAGTTGCACAGAAGTTAAAACAATTCTCAAGAGATAAAATGGGTTCTTTATAACAGAATGCATAACCGCATCGTGGACAGAATAGAATGCTTTAACCTTAGAGGACTGCTTCTTTTGGAATTTAATTAATTCAATTCCTTTTCACTGCAATTCTAAGATCCTCTGGAGTTGTGATATCAAAGACATTGGTGCTAACAAATTTTCAAACTTCAATTTTGTGTTTAGGCCAAATTTGCTTCATTCTTTGGGCCAGGAATTACAGCTGAAGTTGGGGAGTCTGATGTCTGGGTGTTTGGTAAATCTCTGATACTTAATAATTGGAAGACTCAGAATGTGTATGAAATGATTGAATGCATACTGACATAATATTTGGCTGCAGGTAAGGGTAGCAAAAAAGGTTTATATGATGTCAGACTTATCTCCAATACAGATCCCAATGACAATGCTTCTCCTTCATGAAGTTGTAGACCATTTTATCCTCTTCCATGTTGCATGATTTTAGTCAATTAATGGACTTATGTCCTGTAAGATATGTAAAAATATAATTATGTTTCAAAGTATCGAGTTACTTTCGTCAAAAGAAAAAAGAAATGAAAAGTATCAAGTTATTGTATCAAGTGTAAATTTTGACATAGAATAAAATAAAAAAGAAAAATAGCGATTGGGAAAAGCCTAGTTATGGAGGACTCACTTTTTCTTTTAGGATTAAATATATTTAGCCATCGGATTTTGTCAATTTTTATTTTTATTTTTGAAAAATTTTCAATAGTTTTAGTCCCTTTTTAAGAAAGTGGTTAATTCAATAGAATTATTCTTCATATATATATATATATATATATATATATTATAATTTTATTTTTAATTGATATGAGATTTCTAATGGTTTCTATTTTTTTTTCTATTAACAAGAAATTTTGACACCAAGGAAGAATAAACAACTGATAGGAGAAAAAGTTCAAGAACTAAAATTAATAAATAAAAAAAATTGTTCTAATGACTAAAATTAAACTTTATCAAAGTTAAAATCTTAAAAACATCTATTTTTTTTATCATAATTATTGATGATCACGTGTGTTATTTTACATTTGATATACATGGACTTATAAAATTAAGATTTGCTAGGATACTAGTTTGAAATTGTTTGAAACATGGGATTGCTCAAGTCAGGCTCACAGAATGCTTGTAGCAAAATTTCTTGGCATCTCAGATTAAGAAAAATTGTCGTTAAGTATACACTTTACTAAGTTAGTGTTGGCTCCGTCATTCAATCCTATAGTTACTTAATTTTGTTGGTTTTGGCAATTTGGCATTAAAGTCTATGTAAATTACTTTAGTCACTTAGCTCAACTTAAATCAAATGAATTGGAAAACATGACAAAAAGTTTGATTTAGGTGTTGAGTCTTCTTAATTGAACAATAAGCTCTCATCTAATGAAGACAGTCATTCCTTGGAGTTAGACTAAGGAAGCCATCTTTTTTCTTTTTGTTACTTGTGTTTTTCCTCAAATCTCTTCATCTCTATTGTAACTTTGTAACGATATAATTGGATTTTTAAACCAGTCATACATTATTGTAAGAATTGGCATACATGCAAATTGGAAATAGATAATATCTGGTATTCTTCTACTCCTTCTATTCATTTGGAATCCAATAATTCATTCATTAGTTAGTTGGCAACCTAAACTAGTTCATTTTGTTGGTTTAGTTTGCTAATTTCATTGTGACTTAAGCATGTAGTTTCCTTGATGCATATATTAATATTAGGGAGTTGTTAACTTGTTATGATACATAATATGTGTGTTTGGAAAATGTTGTATTGAACGTAGCCGATGATGTTTTCCAACTCATAGGTATATTTACTTTATCATTCGGAGCATTTAAATATGTGAATATCCATTTTGCTGCTTCTTAACATCAATCCAAACGTGTACTACATATCCATGACTCCAAGTCTTTTACTATTTTAACTTGTCTGATCGACTATATTGATTTGAGAAAGGGAAAAAGGAAAAACATGAGGCGAAACCCTAGAGAGAGGGAGGAAGGGGGAATGTTAAGAATACCTGAGAAAGGGGCACAATGATTGTTGAGGAGAGCATGAGGAAAATGATTTTCAACCCTCACGAGCGTTTGGGTACCGCGATGTTCTTCGAGGATTTGGGGTCGAGCGTTTGGGTACCGCAATGTTCTTTCATCCCTCATGGTGCTTAAGGGGTTTCGAAGAGTTTCTTTGGAGAGGGTTTCTTGATTTTTTAGGGAGGGGAGTTATGGGGTTTGTGATTTTTTAGGGAGGGAAATCACAATTTTTTTTATTTTTGTTGGAGAGGTAAGCTGTAAAGTTGAGTTGCCGCAGCCGGGGCTCGCAAGACCCTCCGCCATGCTCGCTGGAACCCTAATTTGAGAAAGGGAAAAAGGGAAAACATGAGGCGAAACCCTAGAGAGAGGGAGGAAGGGGGAATGTTAAGAATACCTGAGAAAGGGGCACAATGATTGTTGAGGAGAGCATGAGGAAAATGATTTTCAACCCTCACGAGCGTTTGGGTACCGCGATGTTCTTCGAGGATTTGGGGTCGAGCGTTTGGGTACCGCAATGTTCTTTCATCCCTCATGGTGCTTAAGGGGTTTCGAAGGGTTTCTTTAGAGAGAGAAGCCGTGGGTTTCTTGATTTTCTAGGGAGGGGAGTTGTGGGGTTTGTGATTTTTTAGGGAGGGAAATCACAATTTTTTTTTATTTTTTTGGAGAGGTAAGCTGTAAAGTTGAAGAGGGAAATTCCAGATTTTGGAATTTTTTTTAGAGGGAAATTATTTTGGAGGCAGAAACTAGAAAAATAATATTTAATTAATAGAGGTTATAAACCTTTGCAAATTAAATAAAAAAATTGTAGTTTTTAATAAATTAAGGAGGTTTTTGAAACCTCCACAAAATAACTTCCACTATTTAACATTTTTTTTGTAGTGAGTAAAGAGGGGCAGTAATAGACACTTAATTTCGTCCGGGGGCATGCAAAAAACGAGACAACATTTTAGAGGGCCCAAAAGCCCAAACAAGCTGATTTTAGAAGACTGGAACTGGCTGTTCCAAAACCGGAACGGGCCGTTCCAAGTTTCTAAAAGGGCCAAAAAATCCTAAATTGGAACGGGCCGTTCCTAAATTGGAACGGGCCATTCCAAGATTAGAACGGGCTGTTCCAAGATTGGAACAAGCCGTTCCAAGCTTATAAAAATGGGGTTAAAATCTTTACTGGAACGGGTAGTTCCCAAACTGGAACGGGCCGTTGCAAGTTAAGAAAAAGACCTAAAAACCTTTCTTTGGAACGACCGTTCCAGTCTACCAAAGGATGTGTTAATTTTATCCCTGGAACGGGCCGTTTCAATTTCAAAACGGGTCGTTCCAGTTACAAAAAAAAATAGTCCAAAACATAAGATAAACTAAAATAGCAAATAACAGAATCAGAGTCAACTAGCTACTCGGAAGGGCGTCTAAGAGATTTTACTTTCTCCTCAAGACGAGTCATGCGAGTGTCAAGAGAATCAAAACGTTCACCAACATAGAACCGGAGATCTCTAATTTCATTGAGAACATCCGAGAGAAGTGCTGATGAAGGATCTTGAGGAGGTGGAGACGGAGTCCTATCATCAGTGTCTACTGCTTGAAAATCCCGCTTCCTGACCCAGGTGTTATCCAGTGTTTTCTTGTACCCAAAGGAAGCAATTGCATTTGCCCCAATCTCAAAGACCCTCTTAACTGGAACCCATGTTTCATCTTCCAGAGGAACGTTAAAATGTTCCAAAATAGTAGTTACAAGATGTGGGTATAGAAGAGAAGCATTAACCCGCAAGGCCTTCTTCATTCGACTCCTAATCAGATGAGCCCAGCTAAATTCCCGGCCAGTGATTAGAGCCCATATCAAAATTAAGTCCTCCTCTGAAGCCTGTGCAAGGTTAGTCGTGCGGGGAAGCAGTACTCGAACAATTATGTAATGCATGATTCTATAATTAAATTTCATTGAGCCGTACACAAGCTTCCCAAGCTTGAAGAAGGAGAAGCAATTCACGGCCAAGAGAAGCAAGGCAAGCTAGGCGGATTTTGGCTCATTTTGGCTCCTTAAATTAATTTCAAAAATGTTTGGTTTAGTCTAGTTAGGTCCATC